TGAGTTTGCAGGAAAAGTTGACACACAGGATCAGCTGAAGCCAGTGCAGCTTGTAATGCACCCAGTTCCTTCTTTTTGGCCTGCCCTAACTGTGGCTGAGAAGATTAAGTGGGTGTCCGTTGTGCTGAAGCTGAGCTTAGTGTTGGTCATTTTGTGATACGTACACGGTTATTCTCGGCAGTGGAACGTGCACCCTCACCCTAGCGGAATGGGGCTGTCGTGTTGCCGTCCATGGTTGCTTCTTTTTGTATGTTCTGGTAACACAGTGACTTCGGCAGTCTTGAACTTCAATAAATTGATACTCTGAACTTCAGCACGTTCAGCTTTTTGCATGTTTCAAACTCTTCCATTATTTAACAGTTTACTATTAATCACCTTGCTTCTTTAAACTTTTTTTCTATGCGTTTTTTTTTTCTCTTAAACTAAATTAGCTAGTAACTTTCTCTTAAAGATCACCTGCACCTAAGCATGGACTTTGAAATTGCTAAGAGAAATTTTAATTATAAAAACTTTTATTCCTACATGTTTGGAAAGGAACAAACTACTTTTGCTCTTGAGCTAGCTCAGCAAGGTTTGTCCAATGGCCACTACTGCCCTATTCAAGTTGAGTTTTCACTGTCAGTGTTAACAAATTATAGAAAAAACTAGTTTAAAATATTTCTCTCTTGTCTCTTCCTCATCTTTTGCAGGAGGTCTCGAAGTCCTGCAGTTGCTGTTTGCCAGTGTGTTGTGTGCAAATTCCTTGCTTGCAGAGCATCAGGGTTGAAGGAATGCCAGACATCTTTTCCCTAGTGCAGAAGCATTAGGAACGTTTTCAATAATGTGCTCAAATGTTCTTTTTCCACATTCTGTCGACCAATTATGGTGCATGGTGCTTAGTGACTTGTTATCCAATTACTCAGCTGGTAGGCTTAATCTTATTTGTTATCCACAGTCGAAACTTATCCCAGGTAAAATGCTATTCTCTTTGAGGGCTTTTTTTTTTTTTCTTTTTTACCGTAAGGACACATTTACAAGTATTTGTGAAGTTACCTCTCAGTCAGAGTAATATCATCTCCATCTTGTACAGGAAGATATTAGATTTCAAATTTCTTGGTTTTTGTGAGAATCTCAGCACTAAAGCCTGAAGCTTTTTTTTTTTTTATGATATTACCGTGCTAAATAATTAATCATACAAACATTTCTGTTCCTAATTTTCTAAATCATTTTTAAATATCTTAGAATGTAAAAAAGGCTACTTGTGCCTTTTTATTTACGATTTTTTCAACATCACAATAAAATGCCTAGAAGAAAACTAGGAATACTGTCTGCCTTTTGGAATAGTATTCAGCTGCCTCAATCGTACAAATGAGTCTTACTTTACTTGTTAGTGCCTGCTTTGTGTGCTGGAATACCTGGTGCCCGAGGCAAAGGAGACAGGCACTATGCAGGTAACTCCATCAGCACCTGCTTTTCACTGATTTGCAGGGTCTCTCCTGCAAAGCAAAGGCTCTGTCAAAGTCAGTCAGCTGAGCAATTGAGATGTATCTCATGCACATATATATGTGTGTGCGTGTGTGTGTGTGTACGCATTCAGCCTGCACTTGTCTGATTTTGTGATCACACTAGGACTCCTGTTTCTTGTTTCCTCTCTCTCAGATTTTTTTTCTTCCCTCCAACTATGTGCAATTTTTTTACATTTTACTTTCTGCAGCAGTTGGTTATCAGCAGTAGTAGGGCTGTTTGCAGGGAAAGGGGGCAGCTCTTGATATTTGGATGCAGTTATCTGCTCTTTGTATATGCTGTATTAATGCTTGTTGACAAGACCACAGGAGAAATCCCCTTTGTATCTCAGATTTTATTTTTAAAGGGAGAATTTTACTTCAAGGATGTACTGGCAAGGTGGCCATATTTGACTTTTTTTTTAGTTTTAGACTTCATTGAATTTGTTATGGATTGGAGTGGCTACATACACATAGTCATTTTACCTATGGCAGATCAGGAGTGGAAAGTTTAACTTAAACACTCTTGAGTAAAAATCATGGGGCTAAATTTGACATCATCCTGTTGCAACAGGATGTCCCGAGTTGTGAAAAGAAGTTCTGTGTCTGTCTGTCTCATTCTGTGTCATTGATCCTGCGGGACTGCTCACGGAGCAGAAACCTTCTCTGGAAGGAGAGGTCTTTGTAACTGATTTCATACAGTGGTAGACGTTAAAACTCTTTTATGTGGTTTTGTGCTTTTATTTGTTATTCGTGAAGTGTATTCGAGTGCTATAACCACATATTTTAAGAAATGGTAAATCAAGCGTGGGAAGTTGATGTTACTTTATTATCAAGATACTTTAGTGCTTTGTAATTCAGTGGCCCTAGAATCTGTTGTGTTGTTTCAGTCGCTAATGATGATATGAGGAAAATGCAGCTCAGAAAAAAAAATAGTCTAGTTGTCCTAGTAATTGTGATGACTTGCGATTTTAAGAACTAGAACACACAAATGCTTCTTTGACTTAAAATACAACATGCCATACGTCTTAAAATTAGAAAGGCAAGTAGATTTCTTACACTGGCTTGTTTAAGTCTTTTCCAAAGGCTAATTTTATTAATAATCTGTGGTGTGTCACTTGGTTGCAAAGAATAGCTTCTCTTTTTTAGCTGTTCCTATGGGTAGCCAGGCTTTTCTCTATTTTTCTCTAAACAAGATGCTGTACATAGGTAAGCTAAGTACAAGAACAGTTTCCTTGCATAGTAGTGCCTAAGAGTAGCTTAATATCAGTGTAATTGCTGTTGTAAGTGTGTGGGTACAGACTGTTAAGCTGCCAATGATTATAGCAAAAACAAGAGTTTTTCAGTGGATGCAGATGTGTCTGGGCTATTGAGATGCGCTTTCTTGTCAGCTGGCCAAGTGTGTGGCCAGGTTTATTCCATAGAAGCCCTTCAGGAACCTGAATGGTTCCTGGGGAGTTTGGGGATATACCCCAAATACGATATACCCCAAATATGTTTATTCAGTTCAGCCTCTGCCTTCATTTTTTTGTGGACCATTCAAATAGAGGGAGAAGGATGGTTTTCTTTCCCGTAAAAGAAAGGGACACCTCTTAAGGCATTAACAGAATTATGTTTTATAAAAAGCTACAGGCAGTTAATGAAAATTAAATGTCCTTGCAACAACATATTGGTGCAGGGAGAAGTCTGTCATGCTTCTGTAACTTTTGATAATGTTCTAGTTTTGGTCTTAAAATTTTTAAAATCAAATGTGACAAAGCCATTTTCATCAAGGCTTATTCAAAAGTATCAGTGTCTTAACATTTTCTGAAGAATAGAGGTGTTGCTGTAGGTAGCTTGTCTTGGCAAATGAAATATGCAGTTGGTCTTCACAGAAACTCTGTAGTTCTTGAATAAATACATCGCATCCACGTGCAATGGTCTGTATAAGGCAAGCAGGCTTTGGGTACGTGCTCTCTGTGCTAAAACATTTAATATTTTTGCCATGGCACTGAGCTAATTAGAACTGCAGGGCCTTTTTCTAGGCGAAGACTGGGGCTCTGTGTGTGTGTTACCAATTACTGAGGGAAGGAAGCCCAAGACAAGAGCGCCACAGAGACTGGGTATTCTGTGTAGAGAAAAAGGCCAGTGCAGGCAAAAAGCCATGAACCCCTTCAAGTGCTGCCAAGAGGCAGCAGACTTTACAGGCAGTGAAAAGAGAGGGATGGAAGATGAGGAAGTGAAGCAGCATATTACAACAGAAACCAAAACAGGAAGTAAGATGCTTAATACTGTTGCAAAATGTGCAGAATAAAATAGTAATGCCAGCTGTATCACTGAAAGAGCATTCATGTACTTATTTTGTAATATGTATAAGAACAGAAGAAAGCATAAAATAGATCGCATTGGAAGAGGGACACATGCTGTGCCTACATTTAGCATCTCTGGACTTCAGAGGATGGGAAGGTTTTTATTTACCTAGAATGACCAAACAGCTTGTTGGAAACCGTGGCTGGGGGTGTGCTGGGTGCTGGCAGCTCAGCCGCAGCAGAAGGCATAGAGATGACAGCGACTACTCCAAAATATGGAGAAATCCATGGGAAGAAAGTGAGTCTGAAAAGAGCCCCCCCCCCCCTCTCTCTCTCTCTTTTTTTTTTTTTTTTTATTGAGTAGAAATTTATTGTGATTTCCTTACACTTCCTGTAGTGTAAAGGAGAGGGAAAAACAAAAAAAATGAGAAAAAAAGTTTTTTTTTTCAAATGCTGCTTTTATTTCTACTCATGGGAAAGATTATTTCTTTTATTCTTGAGCAATCCTCTCACCTTTAGAATATATTTTGCAACAGTTAATCCTGGATATCTGTTGAAGATAAGCATAACAGTCATTGAGCAGCTGTTAAACTGGAGTGAAGAGATTAAAAATGACCTGAGGAACAGGGGGAAGAAGGAAAGAATCTTATTACGTGTTTTTTTTTTTTTTTTTTTTTTTGGTAAAAGAGGAATCAAGATTGAGTGCAACAGCTTTCAGGAAGACAGCTCTGTATATGATGTGTGGAGCTGCTTCCCTTGCAGCAGCTCTTTGGTATTGAATTGTGGTTGGGGGGTTCATAGCAAACCAAAGTGATGCAGCAGCCTCTGCAGACGGTCATTTCCTCAGTGGTTGTAGGGTTGTATAATCAGGAGGCTTAGGGATTTTTATTTATTTATTTTTAAGAATGGAGATTTGAGGGATGTGCAGCCTCATTTTATAGCATCTTTAGGATAAGACCATTCTGTCACCCTTTCAGCTCCCTGTAGCTTTTTTCCCATGATGAAAATGTATTGAATATTTTGCACCTTGGTATACAGTTTTTCTTGAAAAGCTCATGGACAATCATATCTTTTATTATATTTTTTAAATAGTTGCTCCTGAAGGATAATAGTTTCACCCACATTAAATACCTTTATGGTGTAAAATTGCCCAATTAATATAATAATATAATAATGTATTTTATACATTGTTACTAACCTGCACAAAGTTTGTGGTTACACATGGCGTTGAAGAGTTGTGGGGTTTTATTTGTTATTGATGTAGATCTGTTGAAGCTGTAGTCAGTAAGGGTTTAAATTGGAGACTCTGAATTTTAATGGCCTTAGAAATTTTCAGGTGACGTTGGGGATGGCTCTGCAGCAGGTAGAAGGTTCCTAGCAGCAAGAAATTCAATGTTTGTGGAGCAGGTTATGTAGCTGTCATTGGCTAAAGGAAGAAGCTGACCTGAAGCAGTTACCTGAGAGTGGAAAATATTAAATGCAATTAAAACAATCTCCAAGAAATACTCATAGGATTAGTTACTTCCGTTAGAATAGTACGGGAGAAGAGAGCGAACACGAGGAGACATGTTTTATTTATCTTAATGTGAATTAAGTTGATTCTTAAAAGTGTCTGTATGGTGTGTCACTTCTTTGGGATTACACAAGTCTGAAAGTGTTAAATTTATAAATATTCTGTACTTCAGAAAGAAATGCCTGTAGAGGGTAATACAGTCAAAAATACCTTTGCCTTTATCATAATTAATGTCATTTTATTTTCCTGCAGTGACTGTGTGTGTGTGTTTATAAAATGTAAAAATGAGCATGCTCGGAGTAAAATTACTGTTGCCCCTGTCAGTACCTGAACCTCTGACTGTAGAAACATCTGTTTGGGACTCTCTGGCTTTGGGACCCTGGAGCCTGACCTCGCTACTCTATATATTCAGTAGTGAGAGTGTGGGCCTACGCATTGCTAACAGGAGTTTGCTTTCTTTTCGTGATGGCTTGCTGAGGAAGCTGTCACTGCTGCTCCTTCAAACGCTGTCTTCCTGGAGTTTGTGTGCTCCTAGAAGCCATCCTTTTGCCTTAGAGTCGTCTTCTGGTATATTTGTCATTTTAGAAGATTTTTTCAGGTATGAAAGTACTGTTATATTCATGTGCAATGGCAGAGAGCATCATCTGTGGTAAGTAACTTGCCCTGGGCCACACATGAAATCTCCCTAGATAGGGATTGGAGTCATTGCTGTTGATTCTAGGCTAGCAGCTACTTCAGTGTGTGCTCAGCGATAGAGAGATTTCTAGTTTTAATTTGCAAATACAGAACCCAGCTCTTCTCCCTCTCTAAGGATCTTTACATGAAAAGTGAGGAATAATCTAGTTGTAATGAATCACAGATCCTCATTTTCTTAGAGGATAAGCTTTCTTTTATTTTCTCATTCTTTTCATGAGGGTAGAGATATTACATGTTGCAAGGGGTAGTTACTGATTGAAGAATTATAAATAGTGTGGCAAGTCTCTAGCCAAATGCTTCATCTAAGTTCAGACAAATTTAATTAAAACTTTTTTTTTCTGTCCCTGTTATTGCAAATGTTACTGAAATAAGTGTTTTCATATGTGCTAGGGAAAAAACTGCAAGTCTTGACAAAAATATGTACCACTCTATGAAACACAATGTTCAGGCTCTGTTCTCAATTTTGTTTTGAAGATATCTTGCTTTTTCAGGATCCTTTACTTTTTTTCTTCTATATCTCATATTTAAGACTACCATATAGGTGCTCTTTCCTCTCACCCCTCAAGAAAAGGCTAAGAGTTTTTCCCTTGTCACTGAAGTTACAGGAAAGTAATATACTACTTGAAAACTCTCTGACATTAAAAGATGAGGCTATGTGTTTTTGAATACTGTAGCAAGCATTTTATGAGGGTAAGACAATTCCAAGTTATGCTGCTGAAGGGATTTTTCATCATAGTATTACTGTATGTTTATCTGAGTTCTGATTCCTAATTAATTTGTTTCTGAGACAGGCGAAGAACGGTGACTTACGTTTCATAAACTGTGTTAGCAGTGTGAAGTACTTGAATCCTGCTGGTTTTAATAGCTCTGTTTGGGTGATATTCCATGATCTGTGTCTTGACAAGCCCCTTCCAGTGAGTGAGATGGCTGAAATTTAAAGCTGTCTAATTTGGGCAAGAAATTCTTGTATTTGTGTCTATCTAGCAGTCAGGTTAGAGGAAGTACTCCTGTTATAACTACAGGTTACGCTTTGAAGACTCTTCTTGGAGAAGTACTACATGCAATTGTGTACGATATGGCAACTTTTTGTGGGAAAGAAACTATACTTTAGAATTAGGTTCTAATACTTAATTTTCTTTTTTTTTAAGATTTTTTTTTCCATCTGTATTGTTACTTTTCCCAACTCTGCAGGATCATCAGTTTATTTTCCTGATTTTTTTAATTATTATTGTTATGAAGGTAATTCAATAATTATTTGAAAATACCTACTAATATCTTAAAGATGTAAGTGCTGTGTCTTCTGGTTTCTTGTGCAACTTTGCTTTACCATTAAAGGAGGCAAATCCCTTCTTACTGGCCAGATTTTTCTGCATCCTGCAATGGCAAGCTTGGTACAGTCAAATACATTCTGCCACTAATATAATTTGTGTTTAGTTAGTCCTGCCACTTTGCAAAACTGCAGTTTTAAATATACTTTTAGTACACCGCAAACTTAGGAAAAGCTTTCCATCTCCAATATTACATTTTTTTTAATGCTTCTATAGGAGCATGTATTCCCTACAGTTTTCCCCGCTATGGCTCTGCTTTGCTTGTTATAATGGCATCATCTCATTTTGCGGAAGAAATATCACTGCGAAATATGTTTGCGTCTAGACCATTACTAAGGGTTTTATTTAAAGTCATATTTCATCTAGACTTAGTTTTCTAGAGACGAAATAAAATAATGTCCATTTGAAATATTTTCAATTTCTTATATTTAACCTCAATTGTGAGAGCTGCCTAGTCAGTTTACAAATGAAGAACTATAGGCTGGAAGCTATATGGCTTTGAGTAACATATATAAGAAATTAAGTTGTATCACAACGCTAAGACATAGGCTTATTAGATATCTTGGGTGCAGGAATTCAATATTTTTGAATGATCCTATCTAATGCCTGAACAATACTGAGAATGGAGGCTGAAATGCCCCTATGTTGCCAACTTGGGCTCTTATTCTTTCTGTGGAGTCTTTCATTCTTTTCTGTGTGGTTGCACCAATTCAGCTTTGCCTGGAGCCTTATGGTTAAGTCACTCTCTAAAGGGTTAGCTGTGGGTTTGGTTATTCAGAGGCTGAATAGACCCTAGGACCTACTGTATAATTTCTTCTGGAAGCCACCAGGCCGATGTGTAAATTTTGACATCCTCTCTGCTCATGACGTATTCTAAAGGGAGAAGAATGAACCAGTTGTGTATTGAAAGAATTCTTAAATGCCTAGAGAAGGAGTCAATTCTTGCTTACAGATTCCTCAGCATTGACTTATGGACCCAGTAGATTCCAGTTTACATTAATTTTCTCGTGCATAAACCGTGGTGATTTAGGATCATCTGCACTTTCTGTTCAGATGTTCTTGCTGTGCGAGTGGAAGTCATTTGGAGGAGATAACTGGAGGCAGTAAGTACATCAACACTCCCATTCTTATTGTATGAGCCAACAGTTAGTCCCATATGCATGGAATTAAGTCCAGAACACACGGACTTCTGTCATCTCCTCCTGCAGCACATACCCAGGCTTCATGTAAGAGCTATGGTGAATCCTTAGGTTTGTGTAGTTTGAAGTACAGGCGTGTGCTTGCAAACTCTGTTCCTGAACTGGATAGTGCCATTTCACATCTTTATTTTGGACCAAAAATGACCTAAATTGTACTCAGCTCAGAGATATTTTTAGTAGTTGTGAGCAAAAAAATCAAATTTATTTTCAAATTACAGAAAAATTCTCCGAGGGCACTGGAATAACAATTTTTGCCTTCTGTATCTTGTTGTATTGTTGTATATGTTCATATAGATGCTGTCTTAATTTTATCAATACCAGATCATCTTGTATTTCTGATCAACTACAGTGCTCAGCCAACATTAGTTCTTGCTTTTCTTAATAAGCAGTTAAGTAAGTCTGCAGTTCCTCTATCTTATTGGCTTCAATTCTCTTCTAGTTGCATTGGGTTTTTATATATGTTATTTTTGTATAATTGTGTCGATTCATCATTAGTCTGGCTGTTGGTCTGTTTCTTCTTTCCTTTCTTTAGGAACTAGTCAACTTGCAAGTAGGCAGTATCTGTGACTTTGTGCATTGCTGCTTTTTCTGTGTTTCAGCAATACTTTTCGTTTTCAGCTGCTTGGGCCTAAAAACATCCTGTAAATAAGTTGCATCCTTACTTCTGGGTTTCTTTACATTTGCTAAAAAACCCTACAATTCACATAACAGCGCAAATGCAGATCCAGCTGCATAACAGGGGCACGTATATGCTGCTCACATATGGAGCAGTTATGATGCATGTGCACAGTAGATCTGTGAAACACTTCCTTAGTAAGGGAAGGTGACTGTCCCAGCCGAAACCTCCGGGAATTGCTACCAAACCTACAGTTTGTCATCATGACATTTTGAGGAAAGCGATGGTATGAGCTTTATGCCATCTCTGCAGAACCTGCTGCAGATCACTGCTTTCATTGCTCCTTTAAATGTAAAGAAACCAGTAGGTAGACATAAAAATAACATTTGCTGGTCACTGTACGGTGGTGTAGTTCCAATGTCCAAATTTGCTTCTGTCTGTACCTCCGAAACATAAACTTGGCATTTCTTAACCTTATCCCCAGCTGAGCTTTTAATTTATTTATGTTAATTGGTGAGTCTGTGTGGTCCAAGATCCTCATGGGCAGATCTGTTTTCTTCTTGTGGCCCTGGTGGAAGGAATCCACTTGAGCCTGTAGTGGCTTTGTGCAAACTGCGGTCACTCCTACTGTAGCCTGGGCTTCAGGCTCATAACACCACAACATTTGGTGCGATTTGATGCTTCTGCTAACATGAGGGAAACAAGTGACTCTGGTCTTGTACTAATAGGATGAGATGTTTAGTAATATGGGCTGTAAATAAAAATTGTAGCGTAATCAAATATCATAGTGAATGAGTTAATACGAAGGGACCAAAGTGAATGGCTGCATAAACCCATGTAATTTGACAGCTGCGAGCTTAGTGGGGGCCTTAGCGTAGCAGTGGCTTGCTTGCTTGCTTGCCAGAAAGAAAAATATAGAAAAAGCACACTGAGTTACCTCTTAAGATTTCCCCACAGGTAAGTGGCAATGAGACTCTCTGCTCAGTTGAATACTGTATTGGGTTTTGCTTTTCTCTGTTTTTTGAGTATTCAGGTAGGGCGGGGGGGACGGGGAAGTAAGGAAATAAAAGCACATTTTCTTTGGTATGTCCTTTTTTAATTGAAGAATAATACAACAAAAACTGTTAAATGAAGAGTTCTAGGTATTTGCTAGAAAATCTTCTGTGTGTAGTTACAATATCAAATAATAGATCCCACTAAAACTTGAATTTCTCCCTGAACATTCATAAAAATTTAAATAGAGGAACAGAGGTCTAGACAATAATTAATTTTCTGTTAATTACATCTGAGGGGAAGGGAGGAAATGTCTTTATTTCCAAGTGAATCCTAAGTAGACCTATGGGAAAAACTCAACTTGCTGAGTGACCTGGGTACAGAAAGTACTGCTGCTTGTAAATGACTTCCCTCCCGATGGGGGACAAAAAACATCCTGATGTATCTGTCTTTTAATCCATACTTTCCCTATTTTGTTATTGGAAATAGGCAATGCATGACTAATATAAGAAGCTTCTTGTCCTGAAATAGTTTGAGAACCAGTAAAGTTGCACTGCCTCTTTGTACTATTCATGGCCTGGTTCATTAGAGCACTGACTTTAATTTT